CCACTGGGTGACTTTAGGTAAGTTCCACTCTCTCAGCCTCAGAAGAAGAATCAAACTTGCCAAGAACACTCCGTGAGGGTTGCCTTAAGCTCGCCCTGTGTCTGAAATGACTTGAAAGCACACAAGAACCATCTGAGGGACCATGAACTTGCCCTCTGTTTTCAAAATCTAAACATGTATTTACACTTAAACATTGCTCTGCACTTATTTCCAACTTTATCTATTTCCGTATAGTGTTCCTGATGTTTGATGCTTGATAGCACAAACCTGCACTACACATCACTATAGCCTTTCACAGCTGTTATCAAAAACATTTGCAGAAATCAGTATTTAAGGGGCTGAGTGAAAGAACTTTCAAAAGCTCTGGCAGGATCCATAAATCCCATATATACACACACACACACATATATACACACACATATACACACACACGCGCACACACATATGCACGTAATAGTTATTATTGTGCCAATTTTACTTCTATACCCCAAGGTATTCCAGTTAATACTGCTTGCCAACTCCCTGTCAAAAGGGAAATAGAAGCACAAGCTTGTTTGGAATGAGAATAAACTTGGAACTAACGGGGAGATTTGGGGCAAACTATGTATAGGTATAAAAGTGCATCTGCACTGTAGAATGAGTGCAGTTTGACATCACTTTAGCTTCCATGGCCTAATGCTATGGAATGCTGGGGATTGTAGTTTGGTATGAAGCCAAATTATTATTGTTATTGTTGTTGGAAACACAGTAGCATCCAAAATGTCTGTGTATATGTGTTTTGTGTGTGTATGTATGTGTTTATGTGTGTGTATATATTTGTATTTGTGTGTTTATATGTGTACATGCATATTGTGTATATGTGTGCTTGTCTATAAGCATATTTGTGTGTATGCATGTATGTATATTTGTGTACATGTGTATATGTATATATATGTGTGTATAAGTATGTGTGTATATGTGTATATTTGTGTTTGTGCATATATATGTGTGTACGTGTTTGAATGTGTGCCTGTGTATTTGCATATGAGTGTATGTGCATATGTATATATGGTGCATTTTTTTAAGTCTGTTCCACTGGGGTTTTGTGTGTGAGTGTGTGTGTTTAGGGGGGATGGACTGTTAGGTGTCTTGTGTCCAAATTTCGTGTCAATTCGTCCAGTGGTTTTTGAGTTATGTTAATCCCACAAACGAACATTAAGTTTTTATTTATATAGATTACTATTAGTATATCATTGCATTGATAAATTATATTAATATAATATATTGATACAATAAATTAATGTAATAAAGTAATATAATAATTAACATAATGTATTAGTATAATATAGGAGTATTGTGTCCAACTTTGGTGTCAATTCGTCCAGTGGTTTTTGAGTTATGTTAATCCCACAAACGAACTTTATTATTATTATTAACTTTATTTGTACCCCGCTAGCATCTCCCGAAGGACTCGATGCGGCTTACAAAGGCCAAAGCCTCAAAACACAACATAACAATATACAACCTAAAGCAAATCAAAAACAGTTAAAGCAATATTAAAACAACAAGCAATAAACAATACACCAAGACACAATAAAACTGGGCCGGGCCAGGGTAATGGGTACAGATTAAAAGTGCTGATGTGGCAGGTGATATGTAAGGATTATAGGGTAAGTGCAGTGTGCCAACAATCTTAATTTCTACTAAAGTGCTTCTGGGACATATTGCTGGAGTTTTCCTATTCTGGAAAGGCACATCGGAACAGCCAGGTCTTCAAATTCTTACTAAAGACTGCCAATGTAGGGGCCTGTCTAAGATCTTTGGGGAGGGTGTTCCAGAGTCGGGGGGCCACCACAGAAAAGGCCCTGTCTCGCGTCCCCACCAAACGCGCTTGCGACGCAGGCGGAATCGCGAGCAGGGCCTCTCCGGATGAACGAAGTGAGCGCGTGGGTTCATAAACGGAGATGCGGTCACACAGGTAGGATGGTCCCAAACCGTTTAGGGCTTTGTAGGTAAGCACCTGCACCTTGAATTGGGCTCGGAAGATAAACGGCAGCCAATGGAGCTCCTTGAACAGGAGGGTTGACCTCTGTCTGTAGGGAGCACCAGTTAACATCCTGGCTGCTACCCGTTGGACCAGTTGAAATTTCCGAGCCGTTTTCAAGGGCAGCCCCACGTAGAGCGCATTACAGTAATCCAATCTAGAGGTGACCAAGGCATGGACCACCCCAGCCAGATCAGCCTTTGCGAGGTGCAGTCGCAGTATTATTAGTGTATAATTGTATTAATATGTTAATATAATATATTGATACAATAAGTTAATGTAATAAAAAATAATAATTAATATATTATTATTATTATTATTATTATTATTATTATAACTTTAGGTTCTTGTGGGTTTTTTCAGGCTATAGAGCCATATTCTAGAGGCATTTCTCCTGACGTTTCGCCTGCATCTATGGCAAGCATCCTTAGAGGTAGCGAGGTCTGTTGGAATTAGGACAAAGGGTTTATATATCTGTGGAATGGCTGGGGTGGGGCAAGGAGCTCTTCCCTGCTGCAGTTAGGTGTGAATGTTTCAGCTGATCACCTTCATTAGCATTTGAAGGCTTGCCTGAGCCTGGGAAAATCTCTTGCTGGGAGGTGTTAATCTGTGCCTGGTTGTTTCCTCTCTGTTGTTTTGCTGTTGTAATTTTAGAGTTTTTTTTAATACTGATAACCAGATTTTGTTCATTTTCATGGTCTCTTCCTTTCTGTTGAAATTGTCCACATGCTTGTGGATTTCAATGGCTTCTCTGTGTAGTCTGACATGGTGGTTGTTGGTGTGGTCCAGCATTTCTGTGTTCTCAAATAATATGCTGTGTCCAGGCTGGTTCATCAGGTGCTCTGCTATGGCTGACTTCTCTGGTTGAAGTAGTATTATAACTTTATTTGTGCCCCGCTAGCATCTCCCGCAGGACTCGATGCGGCTTACACAGGCCGAAGCCTCAAAACACAGTACAACAACACAGTATATCAAAACAATACCTAAAGCAAATTAAAAACAGTTAAGCAGAATAAACAACAGCAATAACAATACGTCAAGACACTATAAAACTGGGCCGGCCAGAGTAGTGGGTACAAGATTAAAAGTGCTGAAATGGCGGGAGAAACGTAGGATTATAAAGTAAGTGCAATGTGCGGTGTGCAGTGATCTTAATTCTACTAAAGTGCTTCTAGGACTTGGTATTGGGGTTCCTAATCTGAGAAGGCACATCGGAACAGCCAGGTTTTCAAATTCTTTCTGAAGACTGCCAATGTAGGGGCCTGTCTAAGATCTTTTGGGAGGGCGTTCCAAAGTCGGGGGGGCGGGCACCACAGAAAAGGCCCTGTCTCGCGTCCCCACCAAACGCGCTATAATTAATAATATAGGAATACAATATAGTATAATATAGGAATACAATATTATATAGTATTATATATTATTATAATTATATATTATTACATATTATAGTATTATATCTTATTATATCTTCTTATTATTATTATATAGTATAATATAGGAATACAATATTATATAGTATTATATATTATTATAATCATATATTATTACACATTATAGTATTATATCTTATATATTATTATAATATAGTATAATATAGGAATACAATATTATATAGTATTATATATTATTATAATTATATATTATTACATATTATAGTATTATATATTATTATATATTATTATTATAATATAGTATAATATAGGAATACAATATTATATAGTATTATATATTATTATAATTATATATTATTACATATTATAGTATATCTTATATATTATTATAATATAGTATAATATAGGAATACAATATTATATAGTATTATATATTATTATAATTATATATTATTACATATTATAGTATTATATATTATTATATATTATTATTATAATATAGTATAATATAGGAATACAATATTATATAGTATTATATATTATTATAATTATATATTATTACATATTATAGTATTATATCTTATTATATCTTCTTATTATTATTATATAGTATAATATAGGAATACAATATTATATAGTATTATATATTATTATAATTATATATTATTACATATTATAGTATTATATCTTATTATATCTATATTATTATAATATAGTATAATATAGGAATACAATATTATATAGTATTATATATTATTATAATTATATATTATTACATATTATAGTATTATATCTTATTATATATTATTATTATTATATAGTATAATATAGGAATACAATATTATATAGTATTATATATTATTATAATTATATATTATTACATATTATAGTATTATATCTTATTATATATTATTATAATATAGTATAATATAGGAATACAATATTATATAGTATTATATATTATTATAATCATATATTATTACATATTATAGTATTATATCTTATTATATATTATTATTATTATATATTAATATATAAAATCTTGCTTATATTATGAAGCAAATCCAAAGAAGGAATACCATTCAAGTGACATTCCAGAGTCCCCCATTCTAGAGCACCCCAAGGCTGTCTTTCCTCTTGTTTTGGCCCTTTTCCTCCTTCCTTGCCCAGCCTGCGCCATTGCCATGACGTCACCCGCATTACCTCTGAAAGTGTCTCCAAGATTGCATCATCTCCCCTTCTGCGCAGGCGCAGACCCCAAGCTGACGAGAGAAACCAGCTTCCCTCCAGCTGCGCACGCGCAAAGGGGGAGGGAGGGGGAGTTTTCGCGATTGCGCACGCGCAAAGGCGACTTATACTCTCCCCTCCCTCCCCCTTTGCGCGTGCGCAGCGCGAGGACTCCCTTCTCTCGCTGGCCTCGAAACGGATGTGCGCATGCGCAGAAGGGTTTTTGTTGTTTTCTCTCTCTCTTTCTGCCTTTCAGGAGAACGAGCACTCATCCCGCTTTCCCCGGGACTTCCGGAGACAGTTCCCCCACCAGGACGGGCTACTCCACCCCTCGGCGGCCTCCCCCGACCCTTCCTTACCTTTCCCTCCGTAGGAACTGCCGCCGCCGCTTCCTCCCTGCTTTTCCTCGCTCTTTCGCCTGCGCGGTTGCGAAACCGGGCTCCAGCCAATCGGGCTTCGAATTACCTCACGGGGGACGCGATGGACAGCTGCCTCCACCAATGAGGAGCCAGGGCTCCTGGCGCCGGGTCCAATCCGAGGATTCGGACTGGGGGATTGACAGCTCGCGACACCCAATGAATCTCGTCGCTTCGCTATATTGTACCCAATAAGCGAGCGAATTGAGGGGGCGGGCCCAGAGTTGTGTTGTTTACTTAGTCTGTTGAGTTCCTTGCATTTTGTCTCTGCCTTTCCCATCTGTTATTATTAATATTAATATTAATAGCACAATACTCATGCTTGCATAATTGCACCTACACATTCATTATTAAAATTAAAATTATAATTATTTTAAGACACTTTATTATTATTATTATTATTATTACATTTAATAACTCAATACTCATGCTTGCATAGTTGCACCTACACATTAATTTATATAATTTTAATTATTTTTAAAACACTTTATTATGAAAATTGCTGGAAGAAACATTAACAACCTCAGATATGCAGATGACACCACTCTGATGGCCGAAAGCGAGGAGGAGCTGAGGAGCCTTCTCATCCAGGTGAAAGAAGAAAGCGCAAAAACCGGGTTGCAGATAAACAAACAAAAAAAAGCAAGATTATGGCAACAAGAATGATTGACAACTGGGAAATAGAGGGAGAAAACGTGGAGGCCATGACAGGGTTTGTATTTCTAGGACGCAGACTGCGGCCAGGAAATCAGGAGACGCTTCCTTCTTGGGAGGAGAGCAAGGACCAATCTCGATAAAATAGTGAAGAGTAGAGACATCAGACTGGCAACCAAGATCCATTGCCTAGTCAAAGCCATGGTATTCCCCATAGTCACCTACGGATGGGAGAGCTGGACCAGAAGGAAGACTGAGCAAAGGAAGAGAGATGCTTTTGAACTGTGGTGCTGGAGGAAAGTTCTGAGAGTGGCCTCGAAACGAAAGGAGATGAGAGGCCAAGATGAAGTCCTTTGGCCACGTCATGAGAAGACAGGAAAGGTTAGAGAAGACAATGATGCTGGGGAAAATGGAAGGAAAAAGGAAGAGGGGCCATCCAAGAGCAAGGTGGATTGATGGCATCCTTGAAGGGACTGGATTGACCTTGAAGGAGCTAGGGGTGGCGACGGCTGACAGGGAGCTCTGGCGTGGGCTGGTCCTTGAGGTCACCTAGAGAAGACAATGATGCTGGGGGAAATGAAAGGAAAAAGGAAGAGGGGCCGACCAAAGGCAAGATGTATGGATGGGATCCTTGAAGTGACTGAATTGACTTTGAAGGAGCTGGGGGTGGTGATAGCCGACAGGGATCTCTGGCCTGGGCTGGTCCATGAGGTCACCTAGAGAAGACAATGATGCTGGTGAAAATGGAAGGAAAAAGGAAGAGAGGCCGACCAAGGGCAAGATGGATGGATGGCATCCTTGAAATGACTGGACTGACCTTGAAGGAGCTGGGGGTGGTGACAGCTGACAGGGAGCTCTGGCATGGGCTGGTCCGTGAGGTCACGAAGAGTCGGAAATGACTGAACGAATGAACGACAAGAAGTTGTACTTGCACATTAATAATGATAATAATAATAATAAGATAGGTAGATAGGTAGATAGATAGATAGATAGATAGATAGATAGATAGATAGATAGATAGATAGATATTGGGAGCTCACCCTACTCTCTGGATTAGATAGATAGATAGATAGATAGATAGATAGATAGATAGATAGATAGATAGATAGATAGATAGATGATAGAGTGCAGTGGTTCTCAACCTTCCTAATGCCGTGACCCCTTAATACAGTTTCTTATGTTGCGGAGACCCCCAACCATAACATTCTTTTCGTTGCTTCTTTGTAATTGTAATTTTTCTCCTGTTCTGAATCGGAATGTAAATTTATATGTTATACAGGATGCATTTTCATTCACTTCACCAAATTTGGCACAAATACCCAATATGCCCAAATTTGAATACTGGTGGGGTTGGGAGTTGTAGTTCATGGGATTTATAGTTCACCTACTATCAAAGAGCATTCTGAGCTCCACCAATGATGGAATTGGACCAAACTTGGCACACAGAACTCCCATCACGAACAGAAAACACTAGAAGGGTTTGGTGGGCATTGACCTTGAGTTTTGGAGTTGTAGTTCACCTACATCCAGAGGGTATTGTGGACCCAAACAATGATGGATCTGGATCAAACCTGGCATGGATACTCAATATGCCCAAATGTGAACACTGGTGGAGTTTGGGGAAAATAAACCTTGACATTTGGGAGTTGCTGGGATTTATAGTTCACCTAAACTCAACGAGCATTCTGAACTCCTCAACAATAGAATTGAGCCAAACGTCCCACACAGAACTGCTGGACCTCTCAGCGGCCTTCGATACCGTTGATCACAATATCCTTTTGGGGCGCCTCATGGATATGGGGCTCGGGGGCACTGCTCTGCAATGGCTCCGATCCTTTCTTGAGGGAGGGTCCCAGAAGGTGTTATTGGGTGACACCTGTTCGGCCACACAACCATTGTTGTGTGGAGTCCCACAGGGTTCAATCTTGTCCCTGATGTTATTTAACATCTACATGAAGCCGCTGGGGGAGATCATTCGGAGTTTCGAAATGAGATGTTATCTCTACGCAGATTATGTCCAAATCTGTCACTCCTTCTCACCTGTCACCAAGGAGGCTGTCCAGACCTTGAACCGGTGCTTGGCCGCTGTGTCGGACTGGATGAGAGCTAACAGATCGAAATTGAATGCAGAGAAGACAGAGGTCCTACTGGTCAGTGGTAAGGCCGAACAGGGCATAGGGTTACAGCCTGTGTTAGACGGGGTTACACTCCCCCTGAAGACGCAGGTTCACAGCTTGGGAGTGATCCTGGACTCATCGCTGAGCCTGGAACCCCAGGTCTCGGCGGTGGCCGGGAGAGCTTTTGCGCAATTAAAACTTGTGCGCCAGCTGCGCCCGTACCTTGGGAAGTCGGATCTGGCCACGGTGGTCCACACTCTTGTTACATCCTGATTAGATTACTGCAACGCACTCTACGTGGGGTTGCCTTTGAAGACTGTTCGGAAACTCCAACTAGTCCAGCGGGAGACAGCCAGAGTACTCACCGGAGCGTCATACAGGGAGCACACCACCCCTCTCTTGTGTCAGCTCCACTGGCTGCCGATCCAATTCCGAACACAATTCAAAGTGCTGGTTTTGACCTATAAAACCCTATACGGTTCCGGCCCAGTGTATCTGTCTGAACGGATCTCCCTCTACGGCCCACCATGGAGTCTAAGATCTTCTGGGGAGACCCTGGTCTCGACTCCGCCTCTATCACAAGTGAGGCTGGCGGGGACGAGGAGCAGGGCCTTCTCGGTGGTGGCCCCTCACCTGTGGAATTCACTCCCCGGGGAAATTAGATCAGCGACATCCCTCCTTGCCTTTAGGAAAAAATTGAAAACATGGATTTGGGACCAGGCATTCGGACAATCTGGCAGATGAAGAAAGGACCTTGACGATGGACAAGAATTGACTAAGTGGAATGGAATTATGGAACTCTGAAAGACGAACGCTGAGCATGAGATTAGTTTTTATTGATTGTGTTATATACCGACTATCTTAACTGTGATAATTGTTTTAACTGCTGCTTTGTACGCATGTGTATTTTGTGCAGGCATCAAATTATGCCTTTTTGTAAGCCGCCCTGAGTCCCCCCTGGGGGTTGAGAAGGGCGGGGTAGAAGTATCCGAAATAAATAAATAAATAGAACCCAACCCCCCCCCCCCAATGATCAACAGAAAATACTGTGTTTTCCGATGGTCTTTGGCGACACCTCTGACACCCCAGGTTGAGAAATGCTAATATAGTGCCATCCAATGTGCATGGCCCTCTGTAGCCATAGACACACGCTTGCACAATCGCATCATGTTGCAGATTCCTTTTTTCTGCCTTAGGCATTAAACTGACCACAACACTTATTAATTTCCACGAAAACGGGATGTTTCATCTCGCCTTACCTTTGCCGTAGAAGAGCTGCCCCTGAGAAACGGATTGTGCAACCTTGACTATCTGCATCCACATCTCTAGGGAGAAGAGAAGAGCGATCATGCCCTGGCCTGCACCAAGCGCATGAGTTGACATGCGTGTGCGTTCATTTAAAGACGGATTAGGGGCCCAAGCTCCCCTGAAAATCCAAAGGAAACAGTGGACCTTGCAAGGAAGCAGAACGACTTCTGATCCCGACTCCTTCAACGTGAAAAATACATACGCCTTTACGGATCAAGAGTTTCCGTATCACTAATCTCACCCATACGTGCAAAACTAGTGCTCGCAACTCACTAATTCTCCTCCTCCTCCTTGCCTTCAGGGAATTCCTCATGGGATCATCTTGTCAAGAGTCCAAAAGGAAGTACTGTATGCAATATTTACTGGAGGTGAGTCTTTTCCTGCTGAACAAACGGGATAAACAGGGGAAAGAGGAAAAGCAAATAGGTCCATCATTGGTGGAGGGGTTGTGGGTGAACTACAACTCCCAGAAAGGAAAGTCACCCCCCCCCCACAAAAAAAACCCTCCAGTAAGCAAATATCGGCATATCAGGCATGTGTGCCAAGTTTGGGTCGGATCTATTGGTGTTTGGGTTCACCATGTCCTCTGGTTGTGGGTGAACTACAACTCCCAGAAAGGAAAGGCCCCCCCCCCCCCAACCAAACCCTTCCAGTAAGCAAATATCGACATATCAGGCATGTGTGCCAAGTTTGAGTCGGATCCATCAGTGTTTGGGTTCACCATGTTCTCTGGTTGTGAGTGAACTACAACTCCCAGAAAGGAAAGTCAGCCCTTTCCCCCTAAAAAAAGTCCTCCAGTAAGCAAATATTGGAATATCAGGCATGTGTGCCAAGTTTGGGTCAGATCCATCAGTGTTTGGGTTCACCATGTTCTCTGGTTGTGGGTGAACTACAACTCCCAGAAAGGAAAGTCACCCCCCCCCCCAAAAAAAAAAAACCCTCCAGTAAGCAAATATCGGCATA